TGGCCTGGGCTAGAGGCCTGTGGTGATTTGCAGGCCGGCCATGCCCCTCGGTGACCTAAGTGGAGTTCCTGGTATCTGGGATTTATATAATTGAAACTTTGTAGCCTTGAGTGGAGGCCTAGACTGGCCAGGGTGTGCAGGAAGCTTGGCTTCCTCCATTGCCAGGGAAACCCAAACCTCCTGCCCACAACCATCTTGGTTGGATTAATTTGCATACTCACTCCTGGTTGGCTGGTGGGCGTGCCTTGTTGGTATAGTATAGATATGGTAAATTTGCATATTACTTTTATTAGATAGGATTATTCAGTGCTTCTGACTTTTAACTAGGTTTTAGTTACCAATTCTCCAAAGAATAGACACTTAAATTACCGTCAGTCCACGCTATCACAAAACATGCTGCAATTAACATATTCTTACATCATCCTTATAGATAGGATGATCACATTGGTCCAAACTGAGATGCCTTTGAAATTGATGGGGAGTATTTTTATTACAGGAGTATTTCAAAACTCCCTGACCAACAGGAAATGTGGTCCACCCTGTTTATGGCAGATTGCTCTAAGACACAGGTGATAATCAACAGATATGTACTGGGATGGTCCTTCCCTTTTTGCTTCCAACTGACATCTGTTGCAGTTGGTTGGTGCATGTGCTGGACTGATTATTGCTTATTTTAAATTCCACTCTTTGTAGATACTGCTCATGAGGAGAAATGTCTGGGTTAAAGGTTATAGACATACTTAAAGTTTGAGTTTGTCCAGTCTTGTCCCATTAATGGGTGGATGGACTTTTTAAAAATATTTTTTTTTATTGATTTTAGAGAGGAAGGGAAATGGAAATATCAATGATGAGAGAGTATTGTTGATCAGTTCCCTCCTGCATACCTCCGACTGGGGATTAAGCCCATATCCTGGGCATGTGCCCTGACTGGGAATTGAACCAGTGACCTCCTGGTTCATAGGTGAACCTCGGTGACCTAAGTAGAGTTCCTGGTATCTGGGATTTATATAATTGAAACACCCAGCCACACTAGCAGGCTGGATGGACTTTTTAATCTCTCTGTTTTCCTACATTTCAGGTTTATTCACATTTGTACTGTACAGTTATTCTTCCTTTCTCCATCAAACTATCTGATTTGGGACTGTAAGCAGGTACTACTAGTTCGTTAACAACTACTTTAGTGCAATTCTAGTTTATAAGAGTTTTGTGGGTTTTTTTAGATTTATTAAGATATTTGGATCCTAACAATTACCTTTTGAGATAGGGAGGGTAACATTATAATCCTTATGTTACAGAAAAGAAAGCTGTGGTTCAGAGGTGCAATGACTTTTTTTAGTCCATGAATCTCTTAAGTTATGGAGTTGAGTTTGTGACCCGGTCTTCTGATTTTTATTTGCTTTTGCAAAATCTAAAAGGGACAGGAAAAGGGGTAAATTTCTGTTTATGATTAAAGCAGGAACTGTCTAGTTTAGCTTTATGTCTTTCTCAGAACATAACACAATGCCTGATACATGGTCAATCAGTAATTTTTTTTTTTAGAGAGAGGGAGAGAAAAAAAACCCATATATCAATATGTTGTTCCACTTAGGCATTCATTGGTTGATTCTTGTATGTGCTCATCTTGACTGGAGATCGAACCCAAACCTTGGCATATTGGTATGATGATCTAACCAATTGAGCTACCCAGCCAGGGCCAATCACCAGTAATTTTAAAAATATATATTTTATTGATTTTTTACAGAGAGGAAGAGAGAGGGGTAGAGAGTTAGAAACATCGATGAGAGATGAGAGAGAATCATCGATTAGCTGCCTCTTGCACACCCCCTAGTGGGGATGTGGCTGCAACCAAGGTACATGCCCTTGACCAGAATCGAACCCGGGACCTCTCAGTCTTCAGGCCGACGCTCTATCCACTGAGCCAAACCGGTTTCGGCACCAGTAATTTTTAATGAACACATGAACTGGGGATTATTTAGATATCCATAGGTACCAGGTTTGAATTGGTAATGTTGCTGCTACTCAGTACTTTGGTGACTTCTGTTTATTGCAGCAGTGCTTTGAATTATAAGTGAGCTCAGTTCTGTAAATGTTCGGGCTGAAGAAAGGGATTTCACATAAGTCCACGAGTTTTCATTGGTGTGGTTCATTTACAACTGAAGCAGCAGTAGTTATAAACATGCCTGGATTTCTGGAGGGAATGTCTGCACTTGTTTATTTTTAGAACATTTCAGTAAGATTTCTTCCACTCTTTTTTAGACACTGTTCTATAGGTTTAAATAACCAGTAGCAAAGTTCCTCCTCTTTCTTTTCTTGTTTTTAATTCTCATCCGAGGATATTTTCCTATTGCTTTTAGATGGAGTGGAAAGGAGATGCAGTGGAGAGAGAGAAACATCAATGTGAGAGAGAACACGGATTGGTTGTCTCCCGCATGCACCCTTTTCCAGCCAGGGATTGAGCCTGCAACCAAGCTACATGTCCTTGACTGGGAATTGAATCCTCAACCCTTTGGTGTGTGGGTTAAAGCTCTAACCACTGAGAAAACCAGCCAGGGCCACTTCTCTTTCTTACTATTATATTGCATTCATCTGCTAAAAATGTACTTTCTATCCAAGATTTCTAGTGGCAGCTATAGTAGTGTTTGATTAGGATGTTGGATTTTATTGAAAGATTTTCTCCAAATAATTTCTTCCATTATTGAGAGAGGCTAGTTGGCCTGAGCCACCTTGCTCAAACCTGTCACAGTTGTGTGTGTTTTTTTAAAATATTTTTTTTTTTTTTGGTTTCAGAGAGGAAGTGAGAGGAAGAGATAGAAACATCAATGATGAGAATCATTGATTAACTGTTTCCTTCATGCCCTCTACTGGGGATAGAGGCCGCAATCCAGGCATGTACCCTTGATCAGAATCTAACCCAGGACCCTCCAGTCCACAGGCCAAGGCTCTATCCACTGAGCCACCTAGGGTAGACCTGTCACAGTTTTTAAGTAATTTCATAGCCTTCCATAAGGTAGGCTCCACCTACCTTTCCATCTTATCTCAAATAACTCCACCAGCCCCTTTCCAATACCTGCCACCCACCATAATACAAATTAAGAGAAATCATTTAGTAACTTTACATTTTTTATATACTGCCTTCAAGGAAGTTGAAATAGTCATTTTCCAGAAGTAGTTCTTCTGTCATGTATCTTAAATCCTTCTTTTCATTCTCTAGCTGCAGATATTCTATTGTGCACAATTTACACTATTTAAGTGAAATATTTCCTGCTGCTTCTCTCTTCAGCCATGCATTTTCTTAAATCACAGATTAATTTTCTAGTGCATATATTAATATTATGAGCTTTACATGTAAGTTCTCATCCCACCAGTGAGGAGAACTTTTAGAAAGCCCACATATGTCTTTTTAAGTATCTGCTTTTTATTGAAATCAATAAGTAGGCTAGTGATTATGGCTAATCCTGCCAATTGTACTACCTGATTTTTGTTTTTTAATTGTTTCTAAACTATTTCCTTTCTCTTTGCTCTGTGTTTTCACTTCTACAGTACTTGACGTGAAGAAAACTCTAGGGAAGTTCTTTTTCTTTTCTTCTTATTGCATAGATAAAATCCTTTTATAACAATGGTTTTCACAAACTGAAATCCCACAATTTAATGGTTGGTACATGAAAATAATAGGTTTATTTTGATAGTCAGGTTTATTTTGTTTTATTTGCATTAAAACATTTAAATGATATCTACTCCCTTAACAGATTTAAAAAAGTTATGATTGAGTTATGTAATCAACACTATAGTTTTTATTTATTTACTTATTTATTATTTAATCATCACCCGAGGATATTTTTCCATTGATTTTTTAGCGAGTGAAAGAGAGAGGGAAAAACAGAAAGAAATATCAGTGTGAGAGAAACACATAGATTGATTGCCTCCTGCAAACCCCTAACCAGGGCCAGGCCCTGCAACCGAGATATGTGCCCTTGACTGGAATAAACCTGGAACCCTTTGGTCTTCAGGCCAACACTTTATCCATTGAGCTAAATGACTAGGACTCTTAACAGATTTCTAAGTGTACAATACACTATTGTTATCTCTACAATGTTGTACATCAAATTTCTAGAGCTTAATCTTGTGTAATTGAAATTTTATGCCTATTTAAAATAGTCACTCCTAGAAGGGAGGAATAGAAAGAATGGTGGTTACCTGGGGATGGGGAGAAGCTGAAATGGGGAATTGCTAATCATTGAATCAGTTTTCTACTGCAAATAAAACTTAGTAATCACTGTACCAAAGTACGAGCTTGCTTGCACTTGAGGTAGAAAAGGAAAGAAGAGTGAATTTGATAATTTCATTCTATAATGAAGCATCAGTTATCTTTCTATTTCCCAGGTTTGCTGCCAACACACTACTGCCCCCTCAAAGCAAAATAGAAAAAATAAATAAGACTACCAAGACCATTTCTTCCAAAATACCACCATGCACAAATTCTCCCAAAGGTTGGAGAAGTATGGAAAGTAAAGTTTGGTTGGTAATCTCTCTTCTACTAAATTAAAAATAGTTTATTTGCTAATTAGTTAAAAGCATAGCTTCTTCTCATGGACACAGCTAACCCTGTTACATGAATAAAAGGAAAGTCAAAAAATTGGGTCCACTGAGTGCCATCAGTAGAATCAGAATCAAATGTGAACAGAAGCACATCTTATATAAGAATCATCATCATTCTTTCACTGAGTTAACATAGATCTTTCTTTTTATATTCAACAAACTATGTTGACCATTGTGTTTGTATTTTTAGTTCTACCTGATCTGAGGGGGCAATTCTAGATACACTTGACCACTCTTGGTGATATTATTCACTGACCTTGCCTATGAATATTCACCAGCTACATCAGTCTGACTCACCAGCCTCCCCTCGCTACTAGGACATTCCTCTCTCTTTATCTTCTTCTCTAAACCCTTTCTTTTTCTTCACCCCTATCTCCTTCACAACTCCTCCATGATTTTCTCAGGGCTGGGCTTCAACATCGTCGGTGGGACAGATCAGCAGTATGTCTCCAACGACAGTGGCATCTACGTCAGCCGCATCAAAGAGGATGGGGCTGCGGCCCTGGATGGGCGGCTCCAGGAGGGTGATAAGATCCTCTCGGTGAGAACTGGCTTCGGCCTCCTTCACTGTCCCTTGTTCCCTAGACACTACTTCCTACTTCTACCCCTTTCTTGGGAATATTCCTGCCTGGCTTTTTGGTTCAGAAAATATCCAATTTGTAGAGTTCAGTAGGTTACCGTGATCAGTCATCTTTTCCAGATCTATCAGCGCAGATATGAAGCTGAGCTGAGGACTGGAGATTCATCACCCAAAGTTCATTTTTTGTGTGTGATGGTAAAGATGGTATAATATCTGTATAGGTTACCAGAGAATCTGAGGAAATTTTATTTTTGTCGTGGGTGGGGCAGAGGGGGGAATCTGTTTAGGTTTCTCATTTCTCCCATGTGTCAGGTGAGTAGTCAAAAAAAGTACTAAATCCTCAGTGAAACTATACATTTTTATAAAGCTCAGGGTGATGTAGCTGGTTATTATAATGCACAGATGAATGTTTCATTTTGACCAAACCTCTTAGATAACAAAAATGGCACAGATTGGGCCATTAGTCAGCTGCATTTCATATTCTCTTCAAGTACACTTATTAATTTGGTGAATGAAAGAGTTGAGTAGTCATTAACATTTATCAACTATTATACTTGATGGCCTGCAGAGCACTGTGCCAGGTGCTATGGAAAATTAAAAAAATGAAAGTCTTGTTTCTGCCCTTATCTAGAAATCAATAGGAAAGACCCACTAAAAATTCTCATCCAGTCAGTTGCAGAGACATTGAAATATACAGAATCCTAGAGAGGTACTTTGTCTTCCCATTTCTGTGTTCCCAGCACTTAGGTCGTTAGCTGACACGGAGTAAGCATCTAGTAAGTTAGTTGCTCTGTGAATGAATTATAGCATGGATGGTCCTGATTAATTGAAACTAGATAATTTTCTTCCCTTCAACTTTGATAAAAAAGAGATATCCATTCCCTCCAACTGCAGTTCCTTTAAGGATTTTGGTTAAAAATTTAAATACCCAGAGTATAACCTGAGGCCAGTGCTTATTAAATTGAACCCATTTTTTTCTACATCTTACGCATATACATTTATAGTATCCTGTAGTTATAGAGTTCCTGTAACTAACATCCTGAGATAATGCTAGATTATCCTGAGGCAATTCCAAATTATTACTCATCAAATAAAACAAATTTTTAACTCATTTTATTCATTTCCTAATTTTCCAGGAAATAGGAAACTCATTTTAAAGACTGCTAACAATTCTAATTAAAGCAAAGATTTTTGTTTTCCCATCAGAACAGCTAGAACACCACTATCCCAATTGTCTGAACATTTAGTAAAATTTTCTAGCATATTGTAAATCTGCTGTATCAATAAAACTTACTATGCCATGAATTATGGAAGCTGAAGTAGCAGTTTAGTAGTAGTCTAAGATTTCTCATTTGAATAGCTCTTGGTATTAGAAGTGAGGTCCAAGACTATCTGGCCATCACATGAAAACCTGTGAGAAATAAATGCCAAGCCTCAGGAACCTCCCCTGACCAGCATTATAATGAGATCCCTGGGTGAGTGTGAATAAGTATGAGAAGCACTGCTCTAGGCAGATGTCTTTTAAACTTTTTAAATTATCGACTGTAATAGGAAATGTACGTGTGTGTATGTGCGCACAAACACACACATACACAATTGAAGCAAACTTTAACAAAATAATCTATATGTGATTATTTTGATATATTATGTTTTCTTCTAATTTTACTTTAAGAAAATTCAATACTGGTCTTGACCTACTGGATTGCCTTCATTATCTTCTGTAATAGGTCAACAGATATATATATACACAATATATATATATATATATATATATATATATATATATATATATATTTTTTTTTTTTTTTAATCACTATGCCAGTAAATGAAAATCACTGATGAAATCTGTGGATGCATAAAGTATATATTAAGTAGGCTCAGTAGACTGGGTATGGAAACCAGTTAGAAGACAATTTCAGGCATTTTAGACTGGAACTAACTTAAACTTCAGGATCAATTGGAGAGCTTGGATAAAGCATAGAATACTAGGATAGGGCCTAATTTCCACGTTGTTAATCAAAATCATACAAGCTGATTCTGGGACCACACTGAGATTCTCTGGTCTAGATTAGTAAATATGTTGATTTTTTTTTTAAGGATGTCATATATACTTAGGGGTAAAACTTACAGAACCTGATGGTTAATCAATAATGAGCTGGAATCTGTAAAAATGCTTAGAGGAGCTAAATATTAGAAAGCAAATTTGTCTTTGGAGTAAAGGTGACATTGCCAAGACAGAAAGAATCATAATTTGTTTTATGGGGCTGGCTTACCTTGGGCAAAGGACGAAAAATGGTTCTTAAAAAAAGAAATTCCCTTTGCATTTCTAAAAGGCCTCTTGTTTGGCATTTCACTTGTTTATTTTTTTAAGCAGTTAGTGTAAAAGTCCGCTTCTATTCGAATACCTTTAGGCTTAAATAGGAAGACCCAAAGGCATAACTAGCATAATATGCCTGTACACTGTAGAGCACCTTCTTTTGCCTGATGTCACCAATATCTTTCTTCCCCATTAGCAGAAGGAGGCTCAGCAGAGGACCAAGATTACATACACCCCGAGTCATCCGTGGGTAAAGCTGCTAATAGAGCACGTGCTTCTCAGCTTTGTGTCATATTGAGAATATGTCCTTCAGACTTCGTGTAGTGACTTATGGCTGTTTGCAGGGTGTACTCTGCAACCAACCTTCAGAAAATCATGTGACATTTCTTATACTCAAGTGTTAATCAACACACTATTTGGGTATTATAGGGATTACAATGATGTTTCGATACAAGCTATTCAAGATGTTTACAGTAGTAGATAAAGTGATTATGACATAAGGCATGATTTAGTTTGACTTTAAGATGGTTATGTATTGTGGAGATTCAAAGTAGCAAATCAGTCACATTTAGAAAGGCCTTGTCAGTGACATAGCAGTTAACTAAATTGCTTTTTAAATTTTAACGCTACTTCAATACATACAAATGAATAAAAATATTAATATGTAAACACCTTATATTTTTTATACAGCTCTAAATTTTTTCAGTGTGTTACATACAGGGGTCTCTCCCCAAAAAATGTATATGCACTTTAACAGTTGATAGCTCAATTTTGAAAATGAAATGTATTTTAATAAACACTGCCTTTATAATTATTCAACTTGTGTGCATACATTTTGGGGGGACAACCTAGATACAAATGAAACTGCAAAATCAATTAAAATTCAATTTACAGCATTAATGTGATGGATGGTGATATGTTACTGAAATAAAATTCTGCTTACAGTGTAAATTTCTATAGTGTTTTAAAGTGAAAGTTTTGGGGCCAGGCAGCTTGAGTTTGAATCCTGGCTTTGCTGCTCCCATTATATATGCCATGCACAAGCTGCATAACCTCTCTAGTTTTATCAATAACATAGGGGTTCCTAACGTACGGGACTATTGTGAAACTGAATAAGTTTTACATGAAAAATGACTGAGATTATGATAAATATGCAGTGGTTACTGGCAATTATTACTGACTAGCATGCCAAAGATTATTTTGAACTCACTGTTTTGTTTTGTTTTATCCTGATCTGAGGATATGTTTTTATCAATTTTTTTAGAGAGAGAAAAAAACATTGATGTTGGAGAGAAACATCTATGGATTGCCTCTCATATGCGCCTCAACTGGGTATTGAACCCACAACCTAGGTATGTGCCCCTGACCAGGAATTGAACCTGCAGTCTTTTGGTGTCCAAGGCAACGCTCTAACCAACTGAGCCACCCAGCCAGGGATGAGCTCTGTATTCTTGCCGTTGAATGTCATATAGTTTTTTTATTTGCATTCATATTATTATGAAACTTGGCTCTTGATATTGAACTATGACATCTGGCATTTGTTAACGTGACTACATCATTAACTTATTTGTCTCTGAGAGGAAATAAATACCTATTTCTTTAAATGAGAAATACAGTTATCACAGGCTAAGTTAGTTAAGTGAATATTCTCACTACAATCAATAGTCTTTCCCCAGGAATTAACTAAAATAATTGAGTCATTGAGACATCTGGAAGTTTTTCCCTGTGGCATATCTTTAAAACACACACACACACACACACACACACACACACACACACACACACTAAAAATATGATCAGAATATGTCTTAGTAGCATGAGATCAAAGTCCATCAATTGGAAAACCTTGTATTCATTTCTACACTATGGGTATCAGAACTAATCCTATTTAAGATCAATCTTAGGAGATAAGTAGAATTTTTTTAAAAGGAAAGGGTATTCAGATAATGGATATAGCTTAAGCGCAGGTGTGAAAGTAAGAATATATGTTTTTGTGTTTGTTTGTTTTTTTGTCTCAGGGTAATGAGTTATGTGATTTAGCTAGAGCATAGGATACGTGAAAGGGAATAATGAGAGATTAAATTGGGAATGTAGGTTTCAAGGGGAGGACTTTGAATATCAGAATGAGAAACCAGGCATGCACTTTTTCCTCCCCTGCTTCAACTTCTGTTTTTGTTTTTGAGCCACAAAGTGGTATAAACAAAATTGTACTTTAGAAAGATTGGACTGGGGATGTAGTATTTGGATAGAATAGTATGAGGTAGGACCGAGGAAATCAGAAAGAAGGTGATTATGGTAGTTCAACTAAAAGTATCCCCAGTCTAAAGAGAGAGGTGCTAGACAAAATAATAGCATATGAGGCATGTCACTATGTTAGACTATAGGATTTGCCAACATATTGTATATGAAGATTGACAGTGGAGAAAAATTTAAAACTATTATAAAAAATTTAGTCTGGAAGGATGGTAGTGGCAATAAAAGAAAGTTGGGATAGTCCGGTTTTATGGGAAATAATAGAGGATTTTGAAATGTTGGGTGGAGTCTAGCAGAATATCCAGGTGCCAGGTACCCAGCAGGAAATTGGTAAATCCAGAAGTAGAAGTAGGAATACAATTTTTTAAAATATATTTTTTTAAATTGATTTCAGAGAGGGAGAGAGAAAGAAAGAAACATCAATGATGAGTGATAAATCATTGATTGGCTTCCTCCTACACCTCCTGCATGCCCCCTACTGGCGATCGAGCCCACAACCTGGGCATGTGTCCTTGACTGGAATAGATCCTGGTACCCTTCAGTCTGCAGGCTGATGCTCTATCCACTGAGCCAAACCAACTAGGGCAGAATATAAATTTTGGAGTTGTCTTGCAGATTACAGTTGAAATTATGAATAATCACATGGGAGAAAAAATAAGAGGACAAAAGACAACTGACATTGAGGAATATTTACTTGCCTTAAGGAGAGAAGGAAAAGGGAATTAAGAAAGGTATAGTATAAGAACTAAGAGAGCTAAGTGTTCATAACTAAGACAGGAGAGAATTGCAGAACAGGAGGCCGACTGAAGGCTGAAAAGGGACTGTAAGATTTGGTGATTGGAATTTACTGCCCAGTGTTGAAGTTCAAGGCTTATGCCACTTAGTGACTAATACGTAATAGAGCTAGAAACTATTAATTTCGGAAGGCCAAACTGTTGGTAGATTAATTCACCAAGGATATTGGCAGGAGATAGAGTAGAAGGACTATTCTGAATATCTGGAGAAGGAACACTGTGACAAGAAAGGTAAGAGGTTTGAATATGCCAATGACCTGAACTTCAGCTGAACAGAGAATAGTTGGTGAGTCAAAGCAGAGGAGTAATTCAGAAGGAGCAGTAAAATGCAGGGTGTATCTCCCTCCTGGTTTTTAAACACTAGCCCTGGTTTCTAAACTTACTATGCTTTTGGGTGCAGTTCCTAACCTTGGTAGGCTTCAGTTTCTTCATCTGTGAAACAAGATAAAAATAGTGTCAGCCTCATAGGATTATTGTGAGAATTAAATTAGATAATTCATAATGTAAAGCATATAGCACAGGGCCTATCAACTAAATATATTAGGTGTTTTTGCTGCTGTTGCCGTTGATGACCCTAACATGCACGAAAGATATATAGATCTTGCATAAGGAAGGCCATGCTGTGTCACGGAGTGCAGCCTGGATAGAGATCACTCTGGCCAGTGTCACTCCTGATGCTAAAACATAGTAATACCAGTGATTCTTCACATTTCTCACCCCTGAGTGGTAGGACTGACTTACCGTGAAACATTTTTTATGAGTTTGGATCATCACAGAAACTTGAGGAGGATAGGAGTATCAATGGAATCAAGGGAAATTGTTCACAGTAGAACAAGGCTAATGGAATGGGCCAGATTTTGTATCACATCAAAATAAATTCTAGGAGAGTTTCATGTAATTATATTCCTAGAGATGAAGCTGGCAATGCCAGCGATTAGAAATAAACCCAGAAGACCATGCGAGCTGTAGGTAGCCAGACTGATGCTCATGGAAGACATACAAATACAGTAAAGAATTCCAGTGTCTAAATGAGATAAGCCATAGAAGCTAAGTAGAAAGTGACTACCTTTTTAAAAAGTACTTATTTTTTAACATTTTTATTTGTTGATTTCAGAGAAGAAGGGAGAGGGAGAGAGAGAATCATTGATCGGCTGCCTCCTGCACAGTCCAGGTGTGGCCTGACCAGGAATTGAATCGTGACGCCTGGTTCACAGGTTGACACTCAACCATAGAGCCATGCTGGCCAGGCCAAGACTACCATTTTTATTTGTTTTATTTTTTTAATTTTAACTTAAGTGCTCTTCAAACTGAGGTCCATGGAACTCAGTTTTAGGAAAACATAGCCTTGAAAATGAAAAACATTACACTGGGTTGACTTTATCCATTCTCCTAAATCTTGGAATTTGCTCTGTAGGGGTTGTTTTTTAAATGTTTGATCACATGAAAGTAAATATTTGACTTCAGAGAGTTTCCATTCTGACTCTTACTCCTTTTTCTTGCTGTTTTCGACAGATAAATGGCCAAGACCTAAAGAATCTGCTGCACCAGGATGCTGTGAACCTCTTCCGTAACGCAGGCTATGCTGTATCCCTGAAAGTACAGCACAGGGTAGGTGTCGTGTCCTTTGCAGCCAGCCCCTAGCCCCAGGCGTTTGTGCCATTGTGAATAAACCCTGTGGGATAATCTTCAGTGGTGTGTTAGGATATTTTTCTCCCACTCTTTTGAAGAGCTTGTCTGGCAGGGGTCTTCCAGAACTCTGCGCATCATCAAAGGACATTCATGACAGTATTTTTGCAACCCAGGTTCTAGTTTTAAAGATAAAGCTTGACAACCAAATTGAAATAAATGGGGTGGGGAGAGTATACAACCACAATCAGTTTTTTTAGTGGGGAAGGAAAACGTGTCTGCCATTGGACATTGTTTGTAAAACTCTAAATACAAAGATGGTAGATTTTCTCATACCTACCCACTGTGTGCTTTTCCATATCACCTCCATGAGCACTTTACTTATCAGCTTGGTGACTCTCCTGATCAAAGCTCTGGTGCTCAAAGTTGAGCTCCAGGAAAACGGAAATGGAATCCAGAATTCAGTCAAGACAGCACCTATCCCTGTACCCGCTTCGTTCCTAGTGCCTTATAATGTGAATGATGGGAAGAGAAGCCTGCAGACGTAATTTCTCCTGTAGCGAAGATTTTGGGGGCATTTGCAACATAGGTTTGGTGTGTTTTTAAAGTTATTCTCTCTTAAACTGATGTGTGGATGTGATATCTTCTCACTTCTTTACCTCTGATTCTATTTGCCTCCATTCCATACAGGTTTCACCTTTATTTGTGTCCAGTTTGCAAAATAGGGGAGGGAGGACACAACCTCATCTTAGGAGGGAGTGGGGTGCCTTTTGAGTTGGAAATAATGGAATTACCCCTTATGCACTTTATGCTTATATAACAGATAATTTATTACTATTTTTTAAAATATATTTTATTGATTTTCCACAGAGAGGAAGGGAAAGGGATAGAGAGCTAGAAACGTTGATGAGAGAGAAACATCGACCAGCTGCCTCCTGCACACCCCCTGCCAGGGATGTGCCCGCAACCACGGTACATGCCCTTGACCGGAATGGAACCCGGGACCCTCCAGTCCACAGACCGACGCTCTATCCACTGAGCCAAACCAGTTTCAGCTTATATAACAGATAATTTAAATAAACATTGCTCAGATCTGCACTTATTGCACTCTACTGACTGATTCTTTCTAAGTAAACATCCCCCCTGTCCCGCCCAATAATTTTCAGGTTTCCTATAGGATCTGTAGACTTCATCTCATATCTTCATTTCCTGAGTTGATACACATATAGCTTGGTGGAGGCAGTACAAAAGCAGAAAGAGGTTACCTGGCTTATTCCCAGGGGTCCCTTTAGGTCAGTAGCACAGAAAAGGCAAATGTCTCCCCATCAGACTTACTTTGTTTCCGAAGAATCAGTGACTGATATATATAGTAAGGACAAACCAAGAGGGCACACTCTGCTAGATAGTGCTTGGGTTTGCAGCTTTGGGTAGTCTAGAGTTCATAGACCCTGGTAATGTGTCAACCCGGACATTTCAGTTGTGGTAAACGCACATTATTCGCTAGAGTTAACATTTTTCTTTCCCTTCCAGTTACAGGTGCAAAATGGCCCCCTAGGACATCGAGGCGAAGGGGAGCCGAGCGGTATTCCCATGCCTGTGGTGCTGGTGCCACTGTTTGCCCTCACCATGCTGGGAGCCTGGGCCTTGATGAGATACCGGCAATAACTTTGAAAAGCTCGCTTTCTTCCAGTGCTCCTGATGAAGATAACATTTCTTCCTTCCTCTCCTCCTCCCCTGCCATTCTCCCGTCTCTTGCCCTCTCTCTGCATAGCTCACACATGATTTAAAGAGACTGCTTCCCAACCAGAACCTGGCTCTTCAAAATCTCCAAGTCCTTGTTTTCTGATGGGAGAGTAAAGGCTTTGTTTGAAGGAAAGCTGAAGAAAGACTTGCTTAGGACAAATGAGGAGTTATGTGTTTTACTAGGACCGCCAATAGAATCAGCTGCAACCAAAGGGAAAAGTCCAGTCTTCCCGTCACCATGGTGATACGTGTTTTCTTAGCTGGCTTGCCTCAAAGGCCAGCTGTGTGATATAAGAGGAAGAGAGGATTTTTCTTTCTAATGATCTTCCTTGGGAAATTTTTGTGGCCTTTATTTACTTTCTAATGACATACTTGGGTGCCTATATCAAACAAAATACAATGAGGAGACCATTTTTACTTTTTAAAAAACAAATATATATATTTACACATGTATACACATATATGTATAAATGATAGTATAATAGTGAAGCCTATGGAGAGTTGAAGAGGTAGGAAGCTGCTCTGGTTTCTAGATTTCTGGTGGAAGAGTTGATACCTTAATTGAGGGAGTAAGAGAGTGAGGCCGACAGGATGCCTAGTTTGAGTCCTAAGAAAAAGGAAGGAAACTGAAGCAACTAGTTTAAAGTCTTAGAATTCTTATTTCTCATAACAGTTAAGGTGAAGTTGAGGCAAAATGCCATAATCCATCTTTGCGCAAGTCAATCTGTCAGAAAACCTTCAAGCTTTAGAGATCAATCTTACCAATCTCTGGCCTATCTTAGTGACTTTTTTGATACCTCACAGCCTGTGAAAGGATCAGCCGGAATGATTGTGGTCAGAGCTGTTATGATGGGGCCAAAACAACGCAGTGAAAAAACTCCAAAGAGGAAAAAGATAGTGCCTCCGAGGTGGTGCCTGAACCCCCAGGCTGCCACCCCCTCTCTGGGGGCTGATAACAGGCAAACTCTGAGCGAGGAAACTGCTCTCGGGAGGGTGGGCATGAAACCAGCCTTGCTTCTGATTCAGTTCAGTTTAGAGAGTTTGGATTGCTAGTTTATTTATTTATTTAAAAAAACAAACCACGAAACACTGGTTATGGTTTTAATGAATGAACCATTTTGCAGGGAAGGGGAAGAAAAGAGTTTTGTTTGTTTTAGGGGGAGGGAGGTTTCCTAGGGAAACCTTGAGAGAAAGATGCAGATGAATGGATGTTGGGGAATACTAAGGTTAATGAGGTGGGAGCCGTCCTGTGTCAGTGGTATTGAAGGGTGGCTTTAAAGCAGTAAGGAGAGCTGAAGCGAGCCTAATTTCCTGGCTTTAAGAAAACCATTTCCATCTTCCAAACATACTAGCTAGACTATAGGCCTTGTCCATACAATCTTGACAATAAGAGTGGGAGGACTTCCCCCCAGGCAAGCAGGTGTGTCTATTTTTTAGCATAGATGTTCTAACAAATGTTTTACAAATGTTGATTGGACATCAGCTTTTTAAGACACTTTTACAAAGAAAGGAAATAAACCTCCATCCTAAAGGTTTTTTTTGTTTGTTTGTTCCAGTTGGGAACCAAACGTATATCCATAAAAATGGAATCTTCATAGTCAGGGCAATGTAAGTTTGGTGTCAAATGTACGCTGCATTCAGCCACAGGGAACAGTTACTGAGAACTGAGCAACCATCATTGAGAAAGATCCCTGGAGGAAGGGGACAAGTGAAAGACCCTTGAGGAGCTCACAGTCTAGTTAGGAAAAGTCACATGTTATCAGGTTAAGTGACAGTTGAACACAATAATAAAAGAAATGGTACTATGCACAACACAATGCAGCCATCACATTTTTTAAAAAGGTATTCAGAAAAAAGAAAGTTGTCGCATCAAGACACCAGGCCAGAGTGGAAAGGGAAGGCTTTTCAAAGTAAAAATCCCAGTAAGACCGTGCCTCTGGGTCAACTATTCCTATAGGAGAAACTTGCTTTAAACAATCCTGATGTGACTTACGCCTTTAAACCTAAACTGTTCACCTAGAGACAATTGGCATTTGTACATTCCTCAGAGAAACACTGACAGTATTCCAGTTCTCACCTCAATCTGCCTACTGTGGAGGCTCAGTCTCCGGGTCCTCCCTGTACCTGAAGTGTGTGTAGCCATTTCACTTCTGTAGGGGCCTGCTGGCCTCCCAGGGTTCACTGCAGAGTGTGCACATTCACTCTTGAGAGGACCTGAGACATACATACTGAACGAAGCAGAGGGCAAGCAGGAAGGAAAGCTCGCTCTATCCTTATTTGTTGGTGTATGTAAATAAAGAGAACACGTATCCCATCTCTGGTAGAAATTTTGCTTTGGTCGATAATAGGGATTCTGATGCATTTTAACTTTGGTTTTCCCTGGATTTAAATAGCATCTAAAGATCAATATATTAACATTTTAGGCAGGTGTGCTATGTTTTTATTTCTCATTCTCTGGAAGACTACGTTTTAGATGTCAGAATCCATTGTAGGTCTTAAAAAAAAAAAAATCCATGTTCTTTGAATTGAATCGAATATTCCTGCCATTTTATAGATTGTATTATTTCTACTACCTAAATTATTGTGTTCAAAGTTTTTAAAAAGAAAGTATTTTTAAGGCCATGTACTTAGAACACTTCTCTATATAATCCTATATTGTACATATAATCCTAATAAGACATTGTTTGCTTCAATTGTCTATTTTCATTTCCTGCCAAGTTTTCATCTGTTTTGTTAATTTAATTAACCGCACCTTCTAGTCATGTGTAATGGAAAAGGGAGATTAATGTTTGTTACTGCATTTGTGCCAGGTGCTGTACTAAACCCTGATTGGTAACACTATTGGTTCATGCCTCACAACTCTGAAATCTAAGTATTGTTATAAAGACACTAAAGAGAATAAAATTACTTTCCTAAGATTGCATAGGTGGTAATAGAATCAGTTGTTTAAACTCAGGTCTTCAGGTGCCACCATCAGTGATATTTCCTCACTGCAGTGATTCTCAAAGTGAGGTCTCTGGTTAAAAGTATCAGCATCAACATCACTGCGAACTTGTTAGAAAAACAAGTTCTTGAGCTTTATCCCACATCTGTTGATTCAGAAACTGAATAGGGCACCCAGCAATCTGTAATAATTTCTCCAGGTGATGGATTCAGCTAAAGTTTAAGAATCACTTCTGAATGCCAATAAATATCCCCATTTTCTCAGGTTAGAATCACCTGGAGAGCTTATAAGAATTCTGATGCCTGGGCTGTATCTAGGCCAATTCAATAGACTCTCTGGGTGTGGAAGTCAGGCATCATAAAATAAAGTTTACCAGGTGATTCTAGTCTGCAGTGTCAGTAAAAAAGAAAAAACACAAAGAAAACCACAAAACAAAAAATACTCCATGGCATTTAAACCCAGACACCATTTAAGTTACATACAGACATGGCTCCAGCCAAAAATGAGGATTTCACTTGGGCCTTTTCATTTTCTTTTCTTAAAATGGAAGTTTATATTGCAATTTCCCCTCTACTTCTTTTATTTAAAAATGTGTTTTATTGATTTTTAAAGAGAAATATCAGTGATAAGAATCATTGATTACCGCTCCTAGGGATCGAGGCTACGACCCGGGCATGTGCCCTGACTAGAAATCGAACTGGTGACCTCTTGATTCCTGGGTCAATGCTGGCCAGGCCACTTGGGCTTTTTTAGAGTCCAGCTCTCCATGAGCTTCTGCCCAAAGTATAAATGGAATAAGAAGTAGAACATTTGTTGGCTTCTCATTTGCTAATGACTGATCAACCTCCAGTAAAATGTAGTGGCATTTCAGGTTGTGCACCTGTTCAATCAGAGGCAAACCAGAACACTGCAGCAGAAGGAACCAGGAAGATGCTAGGATGTATTTGTCTCAGATGAGAAGACAAGGCTCAGGGAGGTGAGCTCACTTAACACAGATCACACCCTTGCTTTGTTGCCTAAGTGCTCTTTCTATTTCATCTTTATATCTTGAATATATCCACTACATGAACATATACAAAACTCCTTTTTTTTTTTTTTTTTTTTTTATCTCAATCCACTTCCATCTTCTCTCTTTGGGTCTTAAATAAAGACCAAAGGAACTGATTGACTATACAAGGGTGTTGCAAGCTTCATGCATAATTGAGAGATGCCACAGAATAATCTGAGAAAGATCTAACATCAAATTCAATTAAATGAGCTCTTCTGAGAAATTTCAATAGTTCTAGAGAAGTACAATATGTTTTTTGACATTGGACATTGTTTTTATTGTGTAAATAAGCATGTTAAGATATAATTTCATGTGGAGCCAATAAAGATTGATTTGTAGTCAAATCTAGCCAAACTTATCTTTATACAGATGAGGGTTTTCTTTTCCCTCAGCAAATGAGTGCATGCTAGGTGCTGAAGATACAAAGATAACATATAGTCACTCTTAAGCTAAAATTTCATTATTGGAAAGTGGTGGTATTTATTAGTGATCTTGATGTTAAATTATTTTTCTAACATCACCAAGAAGCAGAATATTGAGTTATGAAACTCTTTACCTCTCAGCTCTAATAAGTTGTGAGGTGATTATGATCTTGGGTAAGCTCTTTTTGCTGTTTCTCTTTTATCTGCAAATCTTAGAGACCAGAATCAGCATTTACATTTAAAAGGGTAATTGTGGTAAAAAGGGAGCCAGTATTTTAAGGAATTCTGTTCTGATTGGAACCAGGTTCTTAACTGCCACAAACTCTTGCCTGATGTTGATATTTATATTTGGGCTACAAAGCACCTAATCTCTTACCTGATGTACTTAATGATAATGTAATAATATACAAGAATGCATTGCTGTGTCTAAGGAATCAAGTTATACCAAACACCAGGTCTTGTTTCTTTAAATGTCCTTACTGTTCATGTTCTTTTTGCTGAGTGAAAAAGGAGAAGATTGGGTAATGTTTTCGGATGCAAATCGATCAGTAACAGAGTCATGTACAAAAGAACTTTGTAGATACTGTAATTATTAAATGTATTTAATGCCAGTCAGGAAAGTTGAATAATTCTTCATTTGCAGATTGGCAAATGGAATCACACAATTCCATTTTAATTCTGTATCTGCAATGCTGATTTGAATATGAAATTATTATTGCTGGATATTTGTGCATTTTTATCCCTGGGCCATATTAGTTCTTATAAGATTATTTTCTTTATGAACCTTATTTTATTTTGCTTTATTTCTACTTTGATCCTAGTGTCACATTGCATTCCTGGATCTAAATAGCAAGTAGATGCCCTGTAGCATCTTGGAAGATACATGGTCATAAAACTATCTTCTAGGGAATATAACTACAGATTAAATATGTTAGTGAAGCCGTCAAGTAGGTGATAATTTCCTAAGCTTTGCTATTTGATACCAGATAGAGCAAATAAGATTCAACTGTGCCTCACTCAATATTGGCATTTAATAAAAACTTATTGCACTTGTCAGTGGTCTTTATAAATTTTCCACCTTATTTTGGAGATTACTGAATTTCTTTTTTCCAACTTCTTAAGGGTAGTGCCTCTAACAAAACAATGGAAAGAGGAAAGAAAAACTGAAATGATCAATTTGAGCTTAGCTTTGATTAAGGGGATAAGGAAAGGCACTATCATGTACCACTATTAACTGGCTCACAGTTATTGAGCTCTTTTCAACATTTCAGCTACTGTCCTAAGCATGTGTTCATGTAAGCCTCACAACAACTGTTGTTGCTATTCCCATTTCACAGTGAGATAAGCGAGGCATTGAGAGATTAATCCACCCAAGTCATACAGCTAGAACCTGCATTCATAACCATGGCTGTGTACTGTCCCGAGTCTCCATTGTGCTAGGTACTGCCCTGGGTGCTCTTTTGCATAATAACTAAGATAAAGGAAGTCTTTACCAATTATGCAACATAGTATCAGCAATCCCATTTTACAGATAAGGTAACTCATGGTTTAAAGAGGTTAACTTACTCATGATACATAGCTAGTTAGTTCTATAATAGATCTGGGAATTTACTTAAAGCCAATGAGGAGTTCACTTCTCAGCAATCCAGAAAATGAAGGTTTAGTTTATTGAACCATGCTAGCTCAGCCTTCCATTTCGGATAATAGAGAATTGGCTACATTAGGTACAAAATAGTAGTAGCTGTACTCTTCTGTATTTGCATACAACGTTTGAAGGCAATTGCCAATCTTTAGTATCTTACTTCTGGCCCCTTCATCCCCCAAAGCCATAAAAGGTACATAGAGGCAGAAATGGGTTTGCGCCATAGGATGAAAAAGGATTTGTCAGAACTGAATATTGATTCTGCTTATCGCTGACTGTGATGTGAACAGGAAAGGCAGTTTACTCTGGTCATTATGGCTCTGTCACAGAGCTTAAGCGAAGTGCAGGCCTGGAGTCCAAGTGCGTATCCGTATCTGCTGTGTGTACACAATGGCCACCTTCTCCCTGATGGGCGAAGAACAGATGTCAGTTATCAACTATATAACAAGCCACTGCAAAATTAAGTGACTTAAAACAATATTTTAATAAACTTTTAAAAGATTCTATGGGCTGCCTGAGTATTTCTCCTCCTGATAGCACCTGGGCTCACATGCAGCTGCATTTCTCTGATGGCAGAGCAGAGCATAGGTAGTCCTGGACATTAGTGCTGGCTACTAGTTAAGCGCCTTGGTTCTTCTCCACATCGCCTTTCATCTTACAATCCACTAGACCAGGCTCCTCACAGACTGGGCCAGGAGTGGGGGGTCTTAGGGAAGTGTTTCTAGAAGGCCAGCCCCAATGTGGAAAACACTAATCAAGCTTTGCATCCTTCACGTTGCTGATGTCCTATTCACCAGATCAAGCCCTGGCCAAGCCCAGAGTCACCATGAAAGGGGCCCTAAACTCCACCCGTTGATGGGAGGTAGTGTAAGGAGTTGGTGATCCTTTTCAATCTGTCGCAGAAAGAAACTAGAATTTGAACAGCAAAAACCAGGGCTCAGCAAACTTTTTCGTAAAGGACCAGATAGTAAATATGTAAGGCTTATGGGCCTTGGTTCTTTGCAGTTTTAGTGTGATAGCAACCATAGGTTGTAACTAAGCAAAAGTGTGGCTGTATTCCAGGAAAACTTTACTTACAAAAGCAGCAGGCCCTGCCAGACCAGAGTTTGAGGACCACTAACAAAGATTATTGCAGGTTGCGATGGACTTTCAGGAGTAAATCTGAGAGGAGAAAGCACCCTAATGTTGGTCTCTTTTGAGTTCCAGACTGAAGAACTTTGACACATTTTCTAGGTGTGTGTGAGTGTGTGTGTGTGAGTGTGTGTGTGTGAGTGTTTTAAAATCTTTTACCCTCCAAGAAAGCCAGAGAAAGTCCAACAAAAATTTCCCCTCATGTCATTCTGGAAATGAGTTGAAGAATGACCATTGTCAGACCTGACTGAGCCTCCGGAATGGCCAGGACACCACTCAAAATTCAAGGACTCACATAAAAATACTAGTGATATTCTATACTCACCAGGCACTTTGTAGTCGAAGTCTCTTAGTGTTTAAAAAACACACACAACCTTATTAGATTGAAATCATTCTCCTGTTTTAAAGATGGAAAAAGAGAACGTTACAGAGGCAAAGTTCCTGTCCCCTTGTTAGTGTCATTGTGTTTTAACACTCAAGATTTGAAGCCAAAAGCAGAACTTGTTCTGTGTTCCTTATACTCTACCATACTGCCCTTGTCTCTTGAGTTTAAGAAGAAAGTAATGTATGTAGAAAACTTATTCATGGAACAATTCCGTACTACTAGTTACAAAAAATAGTGTATCACTGGGTGCAGATAGAAGAAAAAATAAGAAAGGATTGATAGCTTTTTCCTCTTGTTTACAAAAATATTTTTCATTGATTTCAGAGAGGGAGGGAAGGAGGGAGGATAGAAAGGAGGCAGGAAGGGGAGAGAGAGAGAGAGAGAGAGAGAGAGAGAGAGAGAGAGAGAGAGAGAGAGAGAGAAAGAGAGAGAGAGAGAGGAGAGGCAATGATGAGAAAGAATCATTGATTGGCTGCCCTCAGTCCACAGGGGGATGCTCTATCCAATGAGCCAAACCGGTTAGGGCTGAAGCTGCATTTTGAAGATGTGGAAGTTTATGGAATACTTGGAATAATATCTCCTCCAGGCTAGAGTATGGAGTGAGAGGAAGAGTGGCAGAAAAGACAGGCCAAAGTTAGTCATATTACTAAGGGCCTTAGATTGCTTGCTAAGAAAATAGGAGTGACTGTGTAGTACTTGGTAGGTGAGGCTTTCTCTGACTCACCCCGGCCAATGGCACCTGGTGGAGGTTCCCTAACCTATCACAGCAGTTAGACACATGTTCATTTGAATGCCAGTTAGATTGCCAGCTTCTTTAAGGCAGGGATCCTATATTTTCATCTGTATGTTCCTAGAGCCTTCTAATGACCTGCAGAAAGGTGTGCTCGTTTGGATGACTGTAGAATTGGCATTCATGAATGAAGATTACAGGCCATTTCACAGTAAAAGCATTAAAGGTTTGGTGATAGCACCACACTATATCGATTACCATTCAGCCTAACCGTTTGTGGCAATTTATGTATTTCTAAAAAATCGATATTAAGCTAGTAAACTCCTCATCCCACAAATAGCCAGCGAAACGATCTCCCACTTTACTTTTTCCTTTAAAAAGTAAGTCCCAGGGAGTGTTATGAGAAGACACTGGTTTAGACTCAGATCGTGGGAGGTACCGGTTACCATATCACTTGCCCAGGAGTACAAACAGCATTCAAATCCTTCGGTCCCTATACCCAGCCAGCGTGCGGAACCAAAGCTCCGGCGCTCGAGTTTCCGGGCCGACGCGCAAGTATGTTACGACGAGTCGATTGCTTTTGTCTGGCGGAAGCCCAATGGGGGCGGACCCAGCCCGGGAGGGCAAGGGAAGGTGGTGAGTCCGGGACGTCCCTGTCTGGAGTGGAGGTTGAACCCCTGGGATTCGCTAGGCGGCGGCGAGGCCGCGCCGGGCCTGCTGGGCCGGGCGTCCACGTAGGTCGGAGGGGCCCGTCATGCTTACACACGCGGTGACGCGCGCCTTGCGCAAGAACAAGACCCTTCGCTACGGGGTCCCCATGTTGGTGAGTCCGGGAGGAGAGAGTGGGGCGGGATTGTGGGAGGGGTGGGACCTCAAGCTTGTCTGGGTGGAGGGAGCGGACAGCCTGTCCGGGGAGAGCCGGGGGGGGGGGGGGGGGGGGGGGGGGGGGGGGGGGGGCTGTACCCTGGGCTCGGAAAGGTTGGAGCTTTGAGGCACCCCTGTTCTCGTCTCCTCCGGCGGGTAATGGCCTCGCGAGTCCGCTCTCCTTCCATCCCTCCATTCCTGCTGCTTCAGGGAGCGACGCGAGAACCGGATTGTAATCCAAATCTGAATGATTGCTGAACAGCCCTGTACTTTACCCCTCCCCTCTACGGCTGGACGAGACTCCGGGTCACTCAAACGAGACGGATTTACTTCATTTAAGGGCACAGCTTCGGGCACCTCCCTTTTTCAGGGTCCCAGTCTGTGAACTGGCTTCTCCGAGGCTGCTGTGGAGTCCGGTAAAGCCTTGTGAGCTGAGTGGTCAGCACGGCGCCTACCCCGTTGTAGCAGCCCTCGCAAGGTCGATGTTTATATTTTTTATTTTATTTATTTTAATATATATTGATTTTTTTTGCAGAGAGGAAGGGAGAGGGACAGAGAGCTAGAAACATCGATGAGAGAGAAACATCGACCAGCTGCCTCCTGCACACCCCCTATTGGGGATGTGCCTGCAACCAATGTACATGCCCCTGACTGGAATCGAACCTGGGACCTTTCAGTCTGCAGACCAACTCTATCCACTGAGCCAAACCAGTTTTGGCCGATGTTTATATTTTTTAAAGAACTCAGGAAATCCCAAGTTACTAGCTCCCTTCCAGGAACCCGGGACAAAGACCAGACCGTAACTTGGGTCCTGTGATTCCGGTGGGCAGAGAAGGACAAAAGTCAGAAATTGTCAGACTCAAGAAATCTTTTGAAAAGTTGAGGTGACAGCTCAGGGATGAACTGATTTGAGAAAGGAATGAGAGGAGCTAAAGATGACTCCAAAGAAGTTGGATAAAAGGAATTGACATTTTTCCGGGACATGAAAGATTGGTTAGGGGCAGGTTGGGGCAGAAAGGGTGTGTTGGGGTAAAAATCAAGAGGCTTAAAAAAAAAAAAAAAAAGTCAATTTGTATATACTGTTAGACTTTTAAGTTGAGATGTCCCATAGGAAGGCAGATCTTCAGTTCAGGGGGATATTTCCCATTGAAAATGTATATTTGGAGGTTGTTAGGTCATAGGGACTATTGTTAAATCCATGGAACTGGAAGACATCACGTAGGGTCTTAGTGTTGGTCGTGAACAGGTAGAAGGTGTGAAGATTGTAAAGGTGAGGAATGAAAGGGAAGGAGTTAGGAAAATCAGGGAGTGTCTTTACATTGAAACAAAGAGATAAAGAAGTATTTCATTTCACAAAAAATTCTTACATATTGACATTGCAAATATTAACTGATTATATATAAGAGATATATAGCTGATTTGTGGTCTTTTGACTTACGTTGTTTTATTTTTATTAATCCTCACCCGAGGATATACCTATTTCCATTGATTTTTAGAGTGGGAGGGGGAGTAACAAAGAGAGAAACATCAATAGGAGAGAGACACATCTATTGGTTGCCTCCCACATGTGCCCTGACCAGGGCTAGGGATTGAGCCTGCTACCGAGGTACTCGTCCTTGACCAGAGCTGAACTCAAACCAAACCCGGGACCCTTCCATCCTCAGGCTAATGCTCTATCCACTGAGCCAAGCTGGCTGGGGCTGTGTTGTTTTAATTTCATGTATTTGTTGGGATAGATGTTTTAAATTTTTATGTGGTCATTTATTGGGTTTTGTTGGTATTCCATTTTCAAAATTTATAGCTTTTTATGTCATGATGTTTCATATATGTTTGTATTTCTTTAGTTGGTAATATTAATATCTATATATAAAAGGCTAAGTGTCCATCCTTCCCTCTGACCAGTCGGTGTGACACGCACTGACTGCCAGGGGGCAGACGCTCAACACAAGAACTGCTATAATGCACACTGGCCATTTAAAAATAAACAGCACACTGGACCGGGCGCCAACAAATCAATACTCAGCTTCCCCCAAGTGGGATACAGGCCCTGCCACCACCCCAGAGCAACATCCCACCAAATTACAGCCAGTGCTGCCAAAACACTATGGCATAAAATGGGGCCCACAGCCCAGCTTAGTCTGGAAATGGTTACCAGATAATGACCCAGTTTCCTCTCCCTAGTGACTAGCCTCAGAGTTTCTTCAGCCCAGGAACATGACTTGCTTTATAGCCAGGTGCAAACATTTTACACTTTTTAACCAAATATTTGTGAAGCATTTTCATGTGCCTCATCTCATTTGATCCTCACAGAAGTCCTTGAGTAGATAGATGGGAGACTTGGTCGAATCCTATTTTCTTTTCATTAGCTGGAAAACGGAGATTTAGAAAGCTTAGAAACTTGACCCAACTGAAAAGAAGTAAGAAATGGTGGACCTTGAAAATGACTTCAGGTTTTCTCACTGTCCAGAATATAGTCAAACACTGCTGCAGTTAAATATTTTATCCTTTGTTCTCTCTGTGCGATCTACAATAATAATATACTTCGTGTTGATATTTACTGCTGTGTGGCTGATAATTACCTGGAAGAGAAGCTGGGCTGCTTCACTGGACTGAAAAGAAGCTTAGCTACATCAGAAAGATTTAATTAAGCAAGTTTATTCTATATATATAAAAGGCTAGGTTAACTCGCACATGCGAGATACATATAAAGCTCTCACTGATGCCAAACACTTGTGTGTGTTTCTTTAAAAAAATTTTTTCTTCTTTTTTGTTGATTTCAGAGAGGAAGGGACAGAGAGATAGAAACATTAATGATGAGAGAGTATCATTGATCGGCTGCCTCCTGCAGGCCCCCTACTGGAGGATTGAGCCTGCAATCCGAGCATGTGCCCTTGACCGGAATCAAACCTGGGGCCTTCCAGTCTGCAGTCCAATACTCTATCCACTGAGCCAAACCAGCTAGGGCATGTGTTTTTATCTGTCATTGTTGATCGTGAATTTGGTTTGACACTTCTATTATAGAGAAAGGGCGAATAGTGATATTAAAATATTCTTTTAATTAATTTCCTTTCATTGTGCACGAATCCATGTACCGGGACACTGGTTTTGATAATAAAGAAAGGTAGAGCTTAAACTTAATGTTTTCCAAGTTGTTATACTTTTGCAGCTTTAGGATGAGGAATTAAAGCTCATTAGGTTATTGGAGATGATAAAGCAGCAAGGACAATTTGAGGGCTCTTTTGAGATTGACCATATACTGAGGAGTATGGCATATTTCATGAGACTCTTATTGCTTGGTAAGATAATGGAGAAAAATGCTCTCTCATTGGTCCTAAAGAAATAAGACCAGAATTTTATTCCTGGTGATATCCATTATGATAATGAACAAGTCATTTATTAAATGGATTTTTTTCTTTATTTCATGGGTCTTTTGTAAGGATCAACTAATATAATGCTTGTGATGATATTATTTAAACCATAAGGTATGGGGTACTGGTTTTGGTATTTGGTAATGTGCTAAAATGTTTCCCAGTGACAGGACATAAAGCATCTACTCTGATAGATGAATGGAAAAATAATCTAAAGATTTGTATAATCTGTCACTATTGGCATTTAGATAAGTGATCTACAGGTAGACTGAATTCTGCCCTTTATTTTGTTTAATTGTTTCCTTTCTTTGTTTCAGTTGTTGGTTGTTGGAGGTTCTTTTGGTCTTCGTGAGTTTTCACAAATCCGTTATGATGCGGTGAAGATTAAAGTAAGAACTGTATTTGGGATTGATGTATGTCTGTGTATATGTATGTACTGGTTTAGGAGACGTGTATACTCAGTATACTAAGCAGTCTGAGTTTTATCTAGCTTTTCAAGACTGATATATTAGTGATTGGGTTCTATCAAAATAACATTTATGATCACTTGGAAATGAATCATGAAATATGAAGAATTTACTAATCTTTCTCCTCATTCACTAGAAAATTTGCAATGTTATTAGCTTCCTGCCACAACGTGCTCTGGTATAGTTGTTTTTAGGATTTAGAAGGGACTAAAGAACATGGGACAGCAATTTCACTCCATTTTATTACTTTAGTTATAAATTAGCTATTTCATATTAATACTAGTAATTTTATACATTATATTGCTATGCATCATTAGTAACTAACTAAAAAAATTGTTTTTCATAATAAATAGTTATACCGATCTTTATAGGTATGCCTTTGTGGAAGGACTGTACTGATTCATATGTATATGGTTGTTTTTATTTTACAGGTGAGGACACTGAAGTTTAGAGAGCTTAATAACTTGTCTAAGGTCACATGGCTGTTGAGGGGTAGAGCTAGTATTCTCACACTCTGTGGTTACATAATTACTGTCAAATTTAAGCCAAATGTTACATAAGAACTCTGGTTGATTGATAAGTAGGTAGTTTTTGTTTGTAACACACATCTGATATTGGAAATTTTTTCCCAAGGAATATATATATTTCATTAGCAGACCTCAGTAACATGGATGCAAAAATAAAGAGTATTCAATGTTCTCAGTTAATTTTGATTTTTAAGAGAAACATCAACTCTAGCTAATCTTAAAGACAATATGTTTTGAATAAATATTACATTAATTTTGAAAGTATGAGGTACAATGGTTTCTGTAAGGCACATGTGTCAAACACAAGGCCCGCGAGCCAAATCCGTCCCGCCAGGCCTTGCAATGTGGCCCGCACCGCGCTGTCATCACTGCACTCTGCTGCGTTTCCATCACAATGACAGTTTATGACTGTTCAGTAAACCATTCGGCCCGCGATTTAGGCTGGATTTTAGATTTTGGCCCCTTCTCTGATTGAGTTCGACACCCCTACTGTAAGGGAATAGAACACTTATCAACCAAATTAAAAATTTTCTATTAGCATTCCCCATTATTTTATTGAGGATTTTTTTATCTTTTGCTTTAAGATGAAAGTTATAATAATCTGACTTTTGGAAGTGGAATGATGTACATTTTCTGTTGTTAATCCTCACCGAAGTATATTTTTTTCCCCATTGATTTTTTTTTTTTTTTTTAGAGAGAGAGGGAGGAAGGGAAAGAGAGATGGGGAGAAAGAAAAAGAGAGAGAGAGAGAGAGACATTTATGAGAGAGATATATCCAGTGGTTGCCTCCTGAATGTGCCCTGACCAGGGCTGGGGATTGAATCCACAACCCTTCAGTGCTTGGGCCGATGTTATAAACACTAAGCAACATTGGCCAGGGCAGACATGTACATATTTGAAAAATAATTGAATATTTATCATATTTATTATGTGTTAGATCCTATAGATAAAGATTTAAGAAATTGATTCTTACAAAGCTTATTGCATAATCAAGATTGGAAGACATCTAAATATAAATATGTACCCAAACATATAACACCTAGAGGCCCAGTTTGCAGATTTGTGTACCAGTGGGGTCCCTGGGCCTGGCCTGCAGGGATCAGGCTGATACTGACTCTCAAACATCCCCTGAAGGATTGCTAGAGGATGCAGGCGGAGCTGAGGGACCCTACTGGTGCATGTTTGGGGCAAGAGGGGGTCCACAGGAGGGCTCCAGAGTATGTCCGACCCCTCTCGCCCAGTCCTGATCACCAGACCCTAGCAACAAGCTAACCTACTGGTTGGAGAGTCTGTCCCCTGGTGGTCAGTGCATGTCATAGTGACTGGTCAAATGGTTGGAAGGGCCATTAGCATATTAGGCTTTTATATATATATATATATATATATATATATATATATATATATATATATATATATAGATGCTGAGAAAAATGCTATATTAAGATTTTGTGTAAAACATTACTAGAACTTCAGTTTAGATTTGGGAAGGGTATTCAAGAAGGTTTCCCAGAGGTATCAACCTTTGAATTAAAGTTTTAAGAATGAGTTAAGAGCTGAATGGTAGAAATGATTATTGTCCTGTAGCACAGAGGGGAGGGAGTATTAGACATATGGTCAAATTTTCATCTTGGAAATAACTCCCCTGTAACAAGAGGACAGGATGGATGATGGTGTTTGGGGGAGCAAGATGGAGAGAAGAGATTATTTCAACTGGAGGTGAAGAGACCTGTTGTTTGGCAGTAGTATAGATGAACAATAATGGAACCTGAAATAAATAAAACATGTACAATCAAGATAGAAATAAATGGTTTCAGAAAAAAAGTTTAGCAGCAAATTGATAGTACTTGGTTACTGATGTGATTGATGTACATAATATAAAAATATGAATAAACCTTAGATGATTAGAGGTTTTGGTTATGAGGATTCAATAAATGGTGATGGTCATCACTCAGTTAAGGAAAGACAAAGAGGGAGATTGGGATAATGGGGTCTAGAAGATAGGGTTAAAGTAAAGAGAACAAGGGTACATTTGAGAGAAAAGGGTTGATTGAAGTGAGAGACAAGGTTGTTGGAGGTTAAGAGACCAAGAGGAGTACAGGATGGGAGGTATGGTTGGTCACGGCCTATGGAAGGAGAGGGAGAGGACAGAGTTCAGGTGACAAGGATTAGAGGGCAAGACCTACTGAGACTGAGAGGTTGACGTTGAGAAGTCAAACTGAGGTGAAGTCAAGAGTCATTGTTTGGGTGAGGTTGTGTTCAAACGGTAGGGAGGATGAGGTGGATAAAATTGGTTGAGATTGACAGGTGCTACATGAGTTGAAATCAAGGGGAGTCAAGAGGGCGAGTTTGCTGAGGTTAAGGTCAAGGAGGGTAAAAAGTGGGGTTGAGAGGACATATTTGGTTGAGACAAAGCAAGAGAGGGTAAGTTCAGCAGAGAAGTTTTGGGATGGATAAAGATGTTATTGGTTCAGGATAATCATCCATGTTAGTTTCCCTGGAACTGTCCTGATTTTAGGACTGAAAGTCCAGCATCCCAGGACATAAAAGTTCCTGCTTTTTAATCCTGTATATAGAAGGCTGAAAGGGAAGAAAAGCAATGAGAGGACACAGGGATGGGATGTACAGCATAGGGAACAGAGTTTTCTAGAACTTTAGAATGTCTTGGCCCATCTAGCCATGAGATCATAATAATATTGTAATAACTGTATGGTGACAGGTGGTTACTAGACTTATTGCAATGATCACTTTGTAAGGTTTATGAATGTTGGAATCACTATGTTGTAAAGCAGAAACTAATAGGTGTATAAACTATAATTAAAAAATAAATTGTTTTAACCAGTTAACTGCCACGTGTCCAAAATGGAAACCATTCCCACACGCCATGATATTTTGAATTTAATTTAAAAAATTTACAATAAATACTATAAAAATAAATATATTACAATTCGGGTGATCTTGAATATTTTTGGTTGAAAATTCTCACAAACAGTGATTTTAAAGTTGGTCTATAGATGCTTATGGCAGGCAAATGGTTAATTGGAAAAGAAAAAATAGAAACCATGAGATGGGCTAAGAAAATAAACTGAAAGCAATAGCTGTCAAATTTTTAGTGTGAAATAGATATGACATAGTTTATCTGCCTTCCTTAGTGGCAATTGCTCTTTTATCTCCCGATTCCTAATGCTGACAACCATGGATTTGTAATAATAGGTCATCCATTGTTGCATCATGCCAAGTAATACGATAGAAGTGTGCCGTTAAGTGTGTTGTAATTCTGAGCATTACTAGTCTTTTTTTCTTTGTTTGTTGTACTTTGTAAGAAAAGTGCTAGTTTAATTTTTAACATCATAAATATTGTGACCAAGTTTTCTAAGATTCAGATAATGGAAATGAGAAAAATAATAATAACCAATGCCAGTATGATCCAGACATCTCTGAAAAAGAAAGCTAGCTGGACCAGCATGGCTCAATGGTTGAGTATTGACCTATGAACAGGAGGTCACAGTTTGATTCCTGGTCAGGGCACATGTGTGGGTTGCGGATTCAATCCCCAATGTGGAGCATGCAGGAGGCAGCAATCACTAATTCTCTTTCATCATTGATGTTTTTATCTCTCTCTTCCTCTTCTTTCCATATATATATATATATATATATATATATATACGCACACACATATATATAACTGTTATTTTAATGGCAGATGGAAGGACACTTACAACTGGGTTAGGGAGTTAACCAAAACGGATCATACTACAAAATATAGAAAAAAGAATTTGAGATTGGGAGGAAAAGAGGAAATTGGGAGAACTATTATAAACAGAATTCTTCCTGTTGGGCTTCATGATGAGTGTGGATCCTGAGAGTTACCCCTTCTGGTTTTCCAACTTGATTTTAAATGAGGTTTCTTTTTATTAATTTTTACAATAGATTTTGTCTATGGACCATACTTGCTGACCCCATGATTCTTTCATTGCTAGGTGGTATTCCACTAAGTATTATAATTTTTTATTTATTTTACCTGATAGACAATTGGGTTGATTTGTATTTTTTTTGTCTAGTGAAAATAATGCTGCTCTGAACATTCTTATTTGTTTCTTTTGTTGCACGTGTACAAAAAAAGAATTGCTAGGGTATAGGGTATGTATATAATTTCTAAACTATTTTTCAGAGTGATTGAATCAATTGTAGGAGAGGAAAATAATTTTTCCTTTACCCTTTCAGGTTCTTGGCTGAGATTCTCCCTGAAAGACAGATTAACAAGAGAAAAACAAACAAGTTTAATAATATGTATACCTCCTGTATACATGGGAGATACTCAGAAAAACTTAGTAAGACTTTTCCCAAAATGGTCCAAGCTATCACCTTAAGTACCATCTTCAGCTAAAGAAGGATGTTTGGGGAGTGGGAACAGTTATATGACATTAGTGTGTATATTTGAGGGGATGGTAGCAATCTAAATTTGTTGGGTTCAAAATTCTGTATAGACCTATTAGAAAAAGAACATAATTATTTTACTCACTTTTAAAAATAATATTTATCATCTGCCTAATCTATTACTTTCTGGGAAAAATATGTTAAGCTCCTATAGTATTTTTTTTTTTTTTGTATTTCTTATTGTGTAAATTTCAAAGCAGTTGTGGTCACATAATATTTTATAATTCTAACATCTTGAAAAATTGTTGTGTTTATCGATATAAAGTGTTCTTTTTTGATGCTGTTTGCCTTGAAACTTTTGTCCATTAAAAATATTGCTATGTATTGAACGCCTACCCCCACTAGTATTTTTTTGTGTTGCATCATTTTTCTGGTCTTCTGCCTTCAACTTTGTGTTTTCAATATTTTTAAAGTACATTTCTTATAAATAGTATGGTATATAGCTGGATTTCTAAAAATTTCAGTCTGAAAAAAACTATTTAATAGATGAATTCAATATTTCCTGGGATTATTGATATGCTGTGTGCATTTCTACCACTCAAAACGGTGATAGAGAAAACCTCAATCAAGTAGAAGCCAAGAAAGAAGAAATGAGAATATATTGTAGTAACAGTAAAATTGAGGTTCAAAGTAATCTCTCGATAATCAATATTGAAGAATACTTTCATTTTATTTTAGCATTTTAAATTGCTGATCAACAGTCTTTTTTCTAATTCTCATCCCTTTGTAAATAAGCTGTTTTTTCATTCTTATTTTTCTTTTCAGACTTTCTTTTTATCCTTAATATTTTAAAACTTTGATATTATTTGACTAAGAATGGGCTTTTGTTTGTTTTCTTATGGCTATCTTTTATTGTGTTATTTCAGTCTAAGGACTTATTTTTTTCTATATATTATTCATTTAATTAGTGATTAATTATTTAATTATTGCCCTTATTCCATTCTCTTTTACTCTCTAATTCTGAAACCTCTAATAGATGTATGTTGGAACTTTTGCATCTAGCTTTCATAATATACTTTTTCTTTCATTCATCCCATCTCTTTGTGCATCATTCGAGTGTAATCCTCAGGTTGTATTTCTAGTACTAATTTGATCTTAAGCTATGTTCAGTCACATTCAGCTATCCCAAAGATTTTGCCATACACAGGTACTATGGCGTCAACTCCTATTTATTACTGTGGACTCCCATTGAATTTTTTCATAGATAGTTCTTTGTTTACAGCATATGGAAGGTGTTCTCTTTCGTTTTTAAGAGCAACATTTTATTTATTTTTATAACATTTCTAAGTAATAATTTAGGGTGGTAGTTAATAGCATGTATCTCTGGAGGCAGAGGGCCAAGGTTCAGAGTCAAGTTCTGCCTCTTTGACAAAATATTCCAATTCCCTGTATCCTATTAACCTTACTTGTGATCATAATAATCATTCTTATTTCAGGTTTTTGTGAGGATTAAAAGAGGTAATATTGTATGTCCCAAAATGCTTGGCACATAACAAGTACTCAGTAAGTATTAGCTGCTGTTAGTAGTGGTAGTGGTACTACTACATCAGTTACCGTTATGCGATTGGATGGATGGATGGATGGTGGAGATTTTGCCATGTGTTTATAATCTTCAATGCCATCCTAGCCGTCCCTTATATAACTTTAAATTGAAAATTAATTCTACAGACTTAACATATGGCTTTTCTTTCTCTTTTTACAGATTGATCCTGAATTAGAAAAAAAACTGAAAATGAATCAAGTGTCATTGGAATCAGAGTATGAGGTACAGTGTTAATATAGTCTCTCTTTAACAATCTTCTTTGTTAGTGACTGGTTCTGTCTGCCTTAAGGTAAATTTAAATTATTAACAGTGCAGAAAAAATTATTCATCTTTTTAAAATATATTTTTATTGATTTCAGAGTCCCCCAATTCCCTACAGGGCCGGCCTGAGGTGCAGAGAAGCCTCAGATGGTGGCTGCCTAGCCATCCAGGGCTGCCCGAGGCTCAGGTAATCAGGGCCAGCCGAGGCTTGCACTGCTGGCAGTGGCAGCAGCGGAGGTGTGATGAGGTGTGCCTTCCCCTGATCTGCCAGGTCACCTCCTACCCCTGAGGGCTCCCAGACTGTGAAAAGGGGCAGGCCGGGCTGAGGGACCCTTTGTCCAGTGCATGAATTTTCATGCACCTGTCCTCTGGTTGAAATATGAAGACCGTATGCAAATCAATGTGGAAAAGTTCAGCCATTCAGTTGGTCAGTGGGAACATGGGCAAAGCATGTAAAGAGTTCAGAGGAGCCTGGCTGGTATTGCTCAATAGTTGAGTGTCAGCCTATGAACCAGGAGGTCAATGGTTCTATTCCGGTCAGGATGCATGCCTGGCTTGTGGGCTCCATCCTCAGGGGGCATGCAGGAGGCAGCTGATCAATGATTCCCTGTAATTTCTATCTAAGATATTTCTATCTCTCCCTCTTTTGTCCTCTCTGAAATCAATAGAAATATATTTTAAAAAAGATTCAAGGGAAGGAAAATAAATACATTTCTTAAACATATGAAGAGATGCTCAATTTATAATAGGAATGTTAAAATTATAATGAGGTGTCACTTTCTACCAATTTTATTAGCAAAAAAATCAAAGAGTAATAAGTATTACCTTGTAATATAGAATGTGAGGGAAGATGTTCTCTATCTCTTTTAGTTCATTTTTTGGCTGTATTATACAAGGGTAGGCAAAAGTAGGGGACTAGGGGACTCTGTTGGTCAGTGCGCATCATAGTGACTGGTCGACTGGTTCCAGTTTGGTCATAACGGTTGCTTAGGCTTTTATATATATATATATATAAATGTATTATTTATCTGTACTATGTAAACCTACTTTTGTCCGTCCCTGTATTTTTCCATGTCTTTGTGTGTTTGGACATTTTTTATTGAAAGGTAGACATTGTGAATAATACATTGAAGAAATTTGAACTTTTAGCAGGCAATTTAATTATTGGCTGATCATTTTGAACTTACTGTAGTTTATACTTTATAAGGGAGAAACTGTGGAAAGGCTGTGGTGTTTCCTAAACCCCTCTTTGTAGTCTCATTCTCCAAATTGTCCCCTCAAAGGATCTTGTAGGAGCTTACTTGGTTTTAAGCTTTGTTGGGTGAGTACAAAGTAGGTCTTCATCTCGGCATAATTCTTACTCCTAAAGAGCAGCCTTTTTGGGATCTCAGCTGGATGTCAAGGTAGCAACTAGGTATTAAGTCCCTCTGACAGGGCTGAAAACCCAATTTTCCTCAGTACTTCTTGACTCTGTTCTCCAGTCAGTTCTATAGCAGTTGGCTGTTAATTCGTGAGCCTTAGGTGATCTTGCTCAGACATGTATAGCCTAAACTTCAGTGACTATGTGTTTTGAAAAATCAGTTATGCTGTGTATATTGCAGAATCCTATAGGGAATCTTCTATTATCCAAAGATCTCTGAAGATTGGAGCACTTTTACATGAAGTTGTCCTATCAACTTTTTTTTTTTTAAATAACACTTTAAAAAAAAACACACATTTTATTGATTTTTTACAGAGAGGAAGAGAGAGGGATAGAGAGTTAGAAACATCTATGAGAGGGATCAGCTGCCTCCTGCACACCCCCTACTGGGGATGTGCCCGAAGCCAAGGTAGATGGCCTTGCCCAGAATCGAACTTGGGACCTTTCAGTCTGCAGGCCGACGCTCTGTCCACTGAGCCAAACCGGTTTCGGCTGTTCTGACAACTTTGCATCCCATCTAAGAATTACTCTTAAATTATCTTGAGCATGTGTGTCTTATGTTATCTGGGTGAAGACCATTATCCTTTCTTAAAACCTTTTTATAAATGGATCATTTCATAACTATACTTGAAAATTTACTTTTTTTTTTTAATAAATTTTTATTGTTCATATTATTACAAATGTTCCTTTCCCCCCTTCTCACCCTACCCTCTGCCCTTTCCCCACCCCCCATTGTCCTCATCTATAGGTGCACAGTTTATGTTCAGTCTCTTCCCACATCCCCCTCTCCCCTTTTCCCCAAGAATAAACAGTTCACTCCCCTTCCATACCTCTGATTCTATTATATTCAACAGTTAATATTGTTCATCAGATTTTTTTTTTTAATTTCCTTGGTTTTTAGATTCACTTGTTGATAGTTACGTATTTGTTGTTCATAATTTTTATCTTTATTTACTTTCTCTTCTGAAAGAACCCCCTTTAGCAATTCATATAATTCTGGTTTGGTGGTGATGAACTCCTTTAGCTTTTTTTTATTAGTGAAGCTCTTCGAATCTGAGTGATAGCTTTGCTGGATAGATTATCTTTGGCTGTAGGTTCTTGCTATTCATCACCTTGAATATTTCTTGCCATTCCCGTCTGGCCTGCATGGTTTCTGTTGAGAAATCAGCTGACAATCGTATAGGTGCTCCTTTATAGGTAACTACCTTCTTTGCTCTTGCTTCTTTTAATATTCTCTCTTTGTCTTTTGCTCTTGGAATCTTAATTATGATTTGTCTTGGTGTGGTCCTCTTTGGATTCCTTTTGTTTGGAGTTCTGTGCGCTTCTTGGACTTGTAAGTCTAATTCTTTCACCAGGTGGGGAAAGTTTTCTGTCACTATTTCTTTCAGTATGTTTTCGATATCTTGCTCTCTCTCATCTTCTGGGACCCCCATAATTCTGATGTTGGTTCGCTTGAAGTTGTCCCAGAGGTTTCTTACATTATCTTCCACTTTCTGGATTCTCTGGCCTTCTTGCGTCTGCGGAGGAGTGTCTTCTGGCTCTTTATGTTCCAAATCTTTGACTTGATTCTTGCGATCTTCCATTCTGTTTTTAGGACTCCATAAAATATTTTTTATTTCAGACAATGTATTCTTTATTTCTTGTTGATCCCTTATTATTTCTAGTTGATCCCTTTTCATATCCTCATAGGTCTTGTTTATTTTATCGGCCTTTTCTAGGAGATTCTTGAACAACCTTTTAAGTGTGGTTTTGAACTCTATATCCAGTCGCTTTTTGTCCTCCATTTCTTTTGTTTGTGATCTATTTGGTTTAGGCATTTTTGCAGGCAGCTTTCCTGATGGGGCGGGGTTTCAGGGTGGAGCCTACAGCCTTGGCTTCCGTCAGCCCCGCCCTATGCGATTCCTGAGACTCAGGGTCCTTCAGTACTTGTTGCGAGCGCCTCTGAGAGAAAGGTGCCCTCGATTTTCGCCTGCTGCCAAACTGTCTATGCTCTCCCCCAATGAGTCCGGTATTGGGGTTCAGTTCAGTTGGTAGTGGGATTGGAGGTGGCATTTAGAGCAGTCTGGAGCTCCTGTCTTCTTCCCGTCAGGGCAATCCCGCGGCACAGCCGGCCGGCCCTTCTCTGCGGGCAGTGTGCGCGCCTCCGGGACCTCCTTTTGCCGCTTCCCCGGAGTCCTGCCTTACAGCCCGGCTCCCTATGGATGAGCCTGGGTCCCCGGGGTCTGGCCTAGAATTGGAGTTCAGAGCAGTTGGAGCTGGGCCCAGCACAGTCGGAGCTTTTCTCTCCTTCCCACTTGGGACCGCCAGCCAGGCACTCGGCCTCCCTCCTCTCCGGCTCTGTCCTCTCCGCGGGTGCCGTGTGTCTCTGTACCTTGGGCTTTTACAGCTCCTCCGCGCTTCCTTCTGGTTTTCTCCTTCTTGTTGTAGAATTTCCAGTCAGTCGACTTTCCTGTAGTTCTGGGTAATGTCCATTTTATATTTTAGTTGTATTTTGTTGAAATTGTTGTGTGCGGCTGCGGCTAGTTGCCTACCCGAGCAGCCATCTTGGATTCTCCTCCGAAAATTTACTTTTTTTCTTGCACATTAAATTAATAAAAATTTGCTCATCTACATCTATATATCTATATCTATATCTATATCTATATCTATATCTAATATAAACTGATAAAACTATAAGTGAAATTTAGAGAATGATTTCATTCACTACTTCCCTCTTATTTTGCTAAAACTATAACTTTCTACTTCTCAGTATATAAGCACTAGGTTAGTAATGATGCTGTGGAGAGTTTGTCTCAGAGTAGATTTTAGTTCTTTTAGAAACCTATAAATTGCTAACTGAAGAAACCACGTAGATCATTTGGTCCAACCGTTCTATTATTACTTGTGAATATGAGGGAATTAGTGCCCAGATAGTCCAAGGTGATACAGTTCATTACTGTAAAAGAATAAAGCTTAGAAATTCATTGTAAAGGTATGTTATTTCTTGTCTCTGGACATAAGGTGGCCTGTGTTCTCTGAGCCTCTTTTTCTATTTAATTCACTAAATTGCTCCAGAACAATGAAAGCAGATGAATGAAAGTTACTGCAAGAAGGTGAAGAAACACTCATGTTCTTCCCTTTTATCCTACTTTTATTCCTGGGAGACACTTCACAATAAAGATACAGGGATCCAACTGTAGTTGACTAGTTTTTATTACCTGAAAAAGTTTTGCTCATGGCAGCTATAAGGAATGTCTTTTCATCCTTAAATCCATGCTCATTTCTCAGGTGCAGGACAAATCATCTTGGTCTGTGTTTTTTTTTCCTTCCAGCAGACTACAGGGTCTCCACCTTTGTTCTTTTCCTCTCATTTACTACTATCATTCATGCTAACCCATGCTAGTCATTATTATGCTGGACCAGCCAGACTTTTGTTTTCCTAGCTTCTTCTCTTTCTTTGTGCTTTCAAAAATAAAGCATGTGCACTCTTTTTCCCCCCCAATTTAATAGAATAATTTATCCTGATAAAGAAAAAGGTAGGCATTTACATAAATAGCAAGTATGAAAAATTCCAAATCCTAAGAAATATGTTAAGTTGTTATGCTTTATATGCAGTGATTTTTTTTGTTGTTGCTAACATTATAATTAAGGGCCTATTGGATTCTTTCCATTCACTCACTCATTCATTCATTCATTCATGATGTCCTAATCAAAGCCACAGGACTCTTATATACTTTAATTTTTGTGGCTCTATAGAAAATAAAGGAGTCTGCTTTTGATGACTGGAAGAATATTCGAGGACCCAGGCCTTGGGAAGATCCTGACCTCCTCCAAGGACGAAATCCAGAAACCCTGAAGACTAAGACAACTTGACTATGTTGCTTCTTTTTTTTTTTTTTTTCCTTTTTTTTTTTTTTTAATGTTACCAACTGATTTTCCACTACATACTCCTGTCTGGTGGAAAGAAAATTCCAGATCTGCAGAAGGCTGGTTGTGAGTAATTTGGTGACAGATAATTATGATTAAAAATCAGGTTCAAGTTTTGCTTCCCAACTCTGCCATTTGCAAACATATATTTTATAGCACTCAATAAAAATGTGAACATTGCTACTTAAAAACTGTCATTTTTTTTCACTAACAAATATGTATCCATATTTCTTTTCCACCAATATTTTGGGGCAATATTTTGATACTTCAATTTTATTTCTAATGAGAATTGTAGGTCTGGATCTAAATTGTCATAGTAATGCCATATGTTAAACCTATGTAGGAAAGTAATATTGATAAGAATCTTGTTTTTATTTCTAGTATCTTACATAATGTACTTAATCAGTCTCTAAAGCATCACTTAATGATTGTATTGATACCATCAATATGTGTTAAGATAATTATATTGTTCCTGGTTAAAACAGAAGTGATGAGGTATTGCATATTATATGCAGATATGGAAAATTTGTTCAGATAATCCACAGATGACTGTATTTTGAGAAAACCTGATTTAAGATATGCTTTATGCCTTAACATGATTACATGCAAATTATTATAATTTTTTAACTTAGTGTTTGCTATGATCTATTTTATTTTTTATTGATTAGAGAGAGTGAGAGAGAGAGACAGACAGAGAGAGAGAGGACAGGAGAGAGGGAGAAAGATAGAAAAACATCGATTTGTTGTACAACTTATTTATGCATTCATTAGTTGCTTCTGGTATGTGCCCTGAATGGGGATTGTACCCACAACCTTGGCATGTTGGGACAACGCTCTAACTAACTGAGCTATATGGCTGGGCCAGCATTTGCTATGATCGAAATGCTAGGCGAGGAAAGAGGAAGAAGATGGCTGCTGATGGGAAGGCAGACTGCAAGATAGTGTGTGAATGAGAAAACAAAAGGAGAGTGTGTGAGTGCACAGGGAATCTTTGTTGGTGAGTTGAGGGACAGCTATTCTCCAGGAGACTCAGGGGGGACTGCTGGATGGGGCTCCCCTGACTAGGCAGCCCCCACTGCTACTGGGTTCCCTCCCGGAGCCACTGGCTTGGATGCAGAGACCACGCCATCTTGAAGGGGAAAGTGGATGTTATTGGAAGCCTGGAAAGCCGAGGGATTCTACAACTACGGCTCCAACAGCTGCAAACCCAAGAACACCGGTCCCCAAGTGGCACAAGCATGTGGATTCAGAAGAGCTCTACACCGTCATGGAATGGTCAGATTTTTCATGGGTAAAGGTAAGGTCTGTGGTCCCAGCAGGAGAGAGAAATGTGCATGGCGGGAGCTGGAGAACATAGGGAAGTCTGCGCCTAGAAAAATCCGTGGCTGTTGGTGCTGGCATGATCCATGAATGTAGAAGGGGGTCTGCAGAGCTGCTAACAGAAGGGAACTCTATAAAGCAACCCATTTTGATTTGTGTGCAAAAGAACAGCCTAAAATTTTTAAAAAGTGTGCTGGCTGCTTAGACTCAAGGGGAGAAAAAGACTGCACAGTCTTGTACGCATTTGTGTGCAGTCCCGGAGTTCAAATGCTTACTCTGGCTCTTTTTTTTTTCTCTTTTTAAATCCTTGCTTTTGATTACTAAGCCCAATACATAGCATTACCCAATTGTGAAAATTCTGAGACTACAGGGGAAAGTTGTTTTTCTGGAACCTGAGAATCAGCAGGGAATAACCATCAGAGAACCAGCTTTGGGGCAACCCACTCCCCCAAACCAGTATTAAGTGCCACTGGGAAAACAAAATCTAAACACTAGCTAGAGAGTACCTATAGACCCAGAGGTCAATCCAGAAACACTGCCAGCCAGGGGTTGAATCACAAATTGACTCTTGTGTAAACACAAATAAAGGAATATAAGAAATAAAGACATATTGTCTGCTTAAAAATCAGGACTGTGACTTACAACACTGAGGAGCAATAGAACGCAGGGTACTTCAATAATGTCCTGACTAGGAAACAGGTGTGCCAAACAGAATAGTAGAGGAAGTGTATAACCTTCACTGCTGCACATTTTTATTTTTATCTTTTCATCTTTTACTTAAGAAATAATTTTTTTCTTTTTTCACTTGATTTTACCTTTTTAATACATTTTTATTTTCAATCAGTATTATTACTACTACTATTTTACCTTTTTCATCTTTCCTTTAGCATCATTTTACTCTCTCTCTTTACCTTTATGCCAACACTCTCTTCCTCATTTTTCCCCTTTTGTTGTCCTGTTTTTCTTACCCTATTCCTGCTTTAGATTTTCTCTATTCCTTTTTACCTGTTAAAATTTCACCCTACTTATACATCTAAATTCCAATCCCCTGCTCTAAGTTCATACACTCCTCTCCTCTTTCTTCACTATTCAAAAAAATTTTTTTTAATGTCCTTTTGTTGTTATTTGCTAGATTTTTTATTATATTTTTTTTATGCTTGTTTGTGAGATTGTTTTGCTTTTGCTTTTTGTTTTTTTGTTTTGCTTCTGTTTTCCCTCACCTCGCTTGATATTGGTGGTTGTTTGTAGTTTGCATTCATCTCCAGGTACTTTTTGCTGGCATTTGTTAGTATTAATGGCTGTTCTATTGGAGTTTTCTCCCCATATATATAGTTTTTCCCCTCTCTTCTTTCTTACTCTCTTTCTTTTCTCTCTCTCTTTTTTTTTTTTCCTTTTCCCAACTTCATTTTTGCACTCTTTTTTCTCTTCTTTCTCTCCTCTAGTTTTCATTTCTCTGGTCACCTTTATTTTGGGTTATTAATTTCATGAATACATTTGTGTTCAGTGTCTTGTGCATTGTACCTTGTTGTGTTGTATTTTGTGCCTTTAAATCAACACAGGAGAGAACTACATAACCAGACACCCGGAGAAGAGAGATCATGGGGAGACAAAGAAACAGCCCAAATATGAAAGAAAAGCAGGCATCACCAGAAAAGGGAAGTAAATGAAATGGAGGCAAGCAACCTGTCAGAGAAAGAATTCAGAGAAATGGTCATAAGGTGGCTGAAAAGAATGGAAGACAAATTCGACAATATGTGTAAGAACCAAGAGGAAATGAAGAAGAACCAAGAAGAAATAAGGAAACTTTGGGTCACCATGAAACAAAACAACAACTGTGTAATAGGGGTTCTATAAGGAGAGGAAACTGAGCAAGGAATAGAAAACCTGTTTGAAGAAATAATGACAGAAAACTTCCCTGATATAGGGAAGAAAAAACACACACATAAATCCAAGAAGTTCACAGAGTCCCAAGCAAAATGAACCCCAAAAGGCCAGTGCCAAGGCTCATTATAACTACAATAAATTGGCAAACACCAATGACAAAGTAAGAATCTTAAAAGCAGCCAGAGAGACAAAGTTACCTACAAAGGATACCCCATCAGACTAGCGACTGATTTCTCAAAAGAAACACATCAGGCCAGAAAGGAAGGAAGGGAATGAAATATACAAAGTTATGCAAAGGAAGGGTCAGAATCCAAGAATACTGTACCCAGCAAGGCTATCAATCAAAATTGAGGGTGAAATCAGGAGCTTCACAGACAAAAAAGGATTAAGGGTGTTTATTACCACCAAACCAGCAATGCAAGAAATGCTAAAGGTCTGCTTTAAAAAAAAAAAAAAAAAAAGAAATAGGAAGCAAAGAAGGAACACAGGGGTAAAGAATAAAAATGGCGACAAACAAGTACCTATCAATAATAACTTTAAATGTAAATGGATTAAATGCCCATCGAAAGATAGGGTAACAGATTGGATAAGAAAACATGACCCATATGTCAGCTGTCTACAAGAAAACCACCTCAGAAAAAAAAGATGCACACAGACTGAGGGTGAAGGGATGGAAAAAGGTTTTTCTGGCAAATGGAAATGAAAAAAATGCTGGGGTAGCAGTACTTATATCTGACAAATTAGATCTCAAAGTGAAGGACATAAGAGATAAAGAAGGCCACTTCATAATACTAAAGGGAGCAATCCATCAAGAAGAAATAACTGGTAAACATATACGCACCCAATATGGGAGTACCCGAATACATAATTGCTAGGCAAAAGGGTAGAACTGAGGAAAGTTAGTTTTTTTTGTACTCAGTTTTTCTTCTGTTAGCCTTGTTTCTCTACATAATTGCCAAAAAAAAAATTATAAATCCACCCACCTCTTCCCCAATAAAAATCCCTAATTTTGCCCTGGTTTGTGTTGCTCAATGGTTAGTGTGTCAGCCTGCACACTGAAGGGTTGTAGGTTTAGTTACTGGTCAAGGGTATGTACCTGGTTTGCAGGTTCTTTCCCCAGCCCTGGTTGGGGTGCGTGCAGGAGGCAACCACTCAATGTGTCCCTCTCACATCGATGTTTCTTTCTCCCACTCTCTCTTCTCTCCCTTCTAGTTTCTCCAAAAGCAATGGATAGCTAGACAGGAAGTGGCTACAGTCCTCTGCTCTACCAGCTGAGCTATCGAAGGGAGCACTCCAACAGCAATGGAAAAATATCCTCGTGTGAGGGATTATAATAACAACAAAAATCTCTGTTTTCAGTGGGTTAATGTTAACAAAAAGCAAAGCAAGCTGATTACCTAGTGGATAATTTGTGCTAGACATGAGTTATAAGACTTAGTTATCTAAGGGAGTAATTGAGTTTCATAGGCAAAAACAAAACAAAACTAAATCTCTACTTAAGCTTCACTCCTTGTATAAAAACTAACTTGAAATGGATCAGATTTAAATCCTATTCTATGTAATAAAAGGCTAATATGCAAATGTCTCTTCAACCAGGAATTTGACCAGGAGTTTGACCAAGGGGCCAGGCCGGCCGGGCCAGCCGGCTAACTGCTTGCGGGCCTCCCCCACCGTCCCCCTCCCCCCCCCCCTTGGCCAGCCCCATTCTTGATCAGATTCCTCACCCTGATTGTGGGTGGGGCCGGCTGGCCAACCTCCCACATCCCCTCCCCCTGGCTGGCCTCGCCCAATTGGCCCTGATCAGGCCAGGCCGGCTGGACCCCACCAGTGCATGAATTCGTACACTAGGCTTCTAGTATAATAAAAGTGTAATATGCTAAGTGTCAGACTGAACGGTTGACTGCTAAACCAGGCACTATGTCATGCACTGACCATCAGGGGGCAGATGCTTTGACTGGTAGGTTAGCTTGCTGGGCAAAAGGGTCAG